ACCGGCGTGAAAATCAACAAAAGTCAACGGTCAACGCCAGAAAGTCAACGCGCGAAAGTCAAAGTCAACCGAGCGCGGAAGACAAGCGTCGGCCGCGCGGAAGACAAGCGGCGGCTGTATTTATGAGCGCGGAAGACAAGCGACGGCTGACACGGAAAGCAAGCGACGGCCGCATGGAAGACAAGCGACGGCTGCACGGAAACAAGCGACGGCTGTACGGAAACTTTGGCATTGAAGTGAGCAAAGCGATGGCGGCTGGCACGGAAGGCAAGCGGCGGCTGGCACGAAAATGTGAGCGGAGCGGAAAGCCATACGTGGAAGTGAGCGAAGCGCGGCTGTATTAATTCTCGCTGCATTTATTGCCGCTGGTCAGCGGTGCATTTACTGCGCCGCCATAATAATTCCTGCACGGAATTCCGCTGCATTTATGTCTCCTGCACCCTCAGCTCCTGCATTTACTACACTCTCCCAGCTCCCTTAATTAAAATCCTGCACTACTTTTTAGCCAATTTTTTGCTATTTTTGTGTAACTTTTATTCTAGAACCTTCTAGAAAATAGGTAGTTATTAGTAGTTATATTATTAGCTATTTTTAGAGTTAGTTATTTATGGTTATTTTTAGAGGTAGTTAGTAGTTATTTTTAGAATTAGTTATTTATTAGCTTTTCCCCCTATAAATATCTCCTCTAATTGTACCATATATATACGATACACCATAGATATATATATACATATATACACCATATATACACAATAATATACATTCCATACATTCAATTTTTTTTCTCCATTTCTTTTCTTCCGTATTTTTATATAGTTTAATAATACGAGATTTTCGGTTTTGTGTCGCGAGCAAACTGATTTTCTCCCCCTTTTTCTTTTAATTTCAGCATAGTATTTTAGCTAGTAAAATTCCTATCATATTTATCCACCTCACATTTACCCAAAAATTACATGTTCGATTTGAATTGTTCAAGTTGGATTTCGACAAGGTTGCGGAAGGGCGATAGAAGAATCGACTATTTCAGCCCTGTTATGCGCCAAAAGCGGTTTCCGGGTAGTTCAACGTAGCTAAGTACGTGGGAGCCTTGTCGACCTGCTTAGTTGCTGTTCTGAATTCGATTCCGACTAAAGAGAGGTAATAAAAGGGGTAGAGCCACTAGCGGAACGGTTGGAAGAATAATTCATGGGGCATAGGCGGGGGTCTATTGGGTCACAAAGATTCCTAGTGACAGTAGGGTTTCTTGCTTATAATGTTCTTCGCCGGGTGTCGCTGAAGCCTCGTTGTAAATCCCCCAAAATCAAGTACCAACCGAGTCGATAATCAGCTTAAGCGAGCAAATGCGATCACGTTCATTCCTCTGAGCCGCCCCGCAGTTATACATATATCTTTCGCTATCACGCCATCGTCATCCCGCTCATTTCATCCATGGAAATCTAGCCATTAAGGAACGCAAAAGTCAGACACAAACGCCTCGCTTCATCCTTTTCGAGATACGTATATTTTATCGGTTTTTAGTTAGATTTAATTTCCGCAATTTATCTTTTCAGTTTCTTCGATTGCATTAACTCATTGCACTTTTTCTAATTAAATATAGGATATTCGCATATTCCCTGAGTTCGACCCAGACACTCACCGGTTAAAGAGATTTTTTATTTTTGACGAAGTTTCTGGAGTGACTACACGAACACGCACGACAGTATTTTCATTTTATACATATATTAACATGGGAACAAAGGTTTTGTCGGTAACAAAATTCAACTTATGTAAGAAAACAATGTATATTGATACTTTTGATTAGAATTTTGTAAAAGCTATAGCCTAACTTAAAGTTCTATTTTTTTTTTAAAAGGTTCTGTTTTGTGTAGTTCTGTTATTGCTGTGAAAAGTTTTTTTTTGTGATTAAAATTTGTGAATAGTAATCATGTTAATTAGTCCGCAGGTTAAAAAATTGAAATCATTAGATGCTCGGACAATGATGACACCTAAGTTTGGTACAGTCTCCAACCCAAAAAGGTGGAGATTTGTGATAATTTTGGGTCTGTGACATTTGGAGGCCCAGAACACTCCAATCTGACCCGCCCATCCGAAACTCGGATCCAGTACCCGCGACCCGACCCATCTATGTTGAGAAGTGATGGCAACCGTTGGATTATGAGATCTGATCTGGGCCGTTGGATCTAATATCCAACCTCATATATAAATAAGCTGGGTCACCCTTGAACCCGGTTCAGTTCACTCTTCTCTCGCGATCTGTCTCTCTCTAGAAACCCTAACCTCTCGAACGGCGCTCTTCGATTGATCTTCCTTGCGTGCTTTCCGGTGATCCGACCGGCGAATCTGGAGTTTCGACAACGCGCTTTGACGTTCGACTTGTTCTAAGGCTTTCCATCGGTTTGCTTTCTTGATTCGGGTCTAGTTGATTGTTTGCGGTGTATATTGATTGTCCGTGATGAAGTTAGACCTAGAATGTTAGCGTTTCCATATATTGTGGTTTGGTTAGCGTGATTGTGCGTTTTCGTCGATGTTGTTTGTGATTTGGGTCGAGGTTGAGCGTTTGTGTTGGGTCGATTGGTATATTTGGGTAAAATTGAGTACGAGCTTCTTTGATTTCGTAATAATGGAAAGATTCTTTAGGTTTCGTGTAATTTCTGAATAATTGTGTGTGAATAACAAGTGTTCAATTCGTGTATATATATAAATTTTATTATTTTTTATATGAATAATACAGTTGGTATTAGAATTCTATGTTTAGCTTTTTTGTCCATTAGGGCATGATTCCTATAAATTTTGGCCGACCTAGAAAAATAAATACAAATACTGGACCGCATAAAAATAATACTATATATATATATTTTTAAAATTATTTAAAATATTTTGAATTTATTTGGTATCGTTATCAATAAAAATATATTATTTTTTTAATAAAATTTAAATTAAAATATATTTAAATAAAAAGAACAAATTTAAATCTAACCAAATAAGTTTTAATATATATTTTTAATAATATACTTGTATCTTTATATTGGGTCCCTGGGCTCACATGGCCCATGCCCTGGACGACATTGATCGAATGTGTCTATACCCTATAAGGTTTGTTATAATAGTGCATGTTGTTAGCATTCTATTGAATTAGTTTAATAAATATATACTTTCTTCACATATCCACTTTATAAATATAATTTTATTTTTTATTTTTTGTATAGAGATTAATATATGTTTTATTTTAATAATAGTTAGTGATAATTTTGTATGTAAATACTATTTTACTTTTATGATGTGTAAAATTATTGTGGTGGTATTGACGTAACTATGTATAAATATTATCGTATTTGTAATATGTTATGAGTGCATACTTACTACAAAAATATAGGTATTTTTTGTTTTGGCAATAAAAAATAGCAGAATAAATTTATGTCTATTTGACCTGCTCATATGGATTTTTAAAAATTGGGTAAAAATATATTTTGTGGGAGAAAAAAAAAAAAGAAAAATAATATATATATATTTTTTTTTATTAAAAAGAAAACTAAAATACTTTTTTATGACAAAATATATAATATATATAAAATTGACATACATTTAAATGACGAATATTTATTAAGTGGAGGAAGAAAATACTTAATAGTTCTTTCGTCTCAAAACAATAGTAATATTTGTGATGAATACGAGAATTAAGAAATAATAGTATTATATTGATATTGAGTGTAAAAGTGTTTTTAAAAGATCAAAATGTTCATACTTTATGTAATTATTGTGAAATAATATGGATAGTTTTGTAAAAAAATGTGAAGTTAATTATTAAAAATAGAAATGAGACTATTGTTTTGTGACGAACGAAAATGAAAAAATGAGACTACTGTTTTGGGACAGAGGGAGTATGATATTTTGAATATATTATTTTTCACTTAGTATTTTAAATAAATATATATTTCAAATTTAGTTTTTCTTCTTTTTTTTAATAAAAAATTTATACTCCACTTATTAGAAATTATCTCTTTACTTTTTTATAGTTGAATAAAGAATAATAATATTTTATTAGTTAGTGATATTATATAAGATTATTTTGATATTTTTATTTTACAAGTAAAAAAAAAATACTTCTATAAAAATTATAAATACTTTAGTCTTTATATATTGATTTTTTTTTTACTATAATAAAAATAATATTTATGTCACGAATGAAAATTAAAAAAAAAAACATTGAATTAAGAGGGAAGAACTAGATAAATAGTTCAAAAACAAAATGAATAAACACATTACACCTTTTTACTGGTGTTTGTTTGGGGGTTTGAATTTTGAGTTGGTATTTGAATAGTAAAATTTTTGAATTTGAATAGTTGTATGAAATGATATAAATAGACGTTGATGTGATATTTTGAATGTAAAATTAATTTTTAGTATAATATAAAAAATAAGAAAATAGGTGTTTGATTTGATATTTTTGGGAGAAAAAATAAGATGGATATTGTATTTAAAATCCAATCCCCAAACAAACACACCCTACGAACATCAACGTTTAACAATATCTATGGTTGTGTTCTTTTCTGAATTTCATCTTAAAATTTTTATTATTCAAATTTTTTTTTTCCTTAAAAAAAAATATCAAATCAAATATTTATTTTTCCTTTTTATATTATACTAAAAATTTATTTTACATTTAAAACATAACATAAATATCTATTTATATCACGTCAAACAAATATTCAAATTAATTATTTACTATTCAAAAATCCAAATCCAATACTTCAAACCCACAAACAAACACACCCTATATATTTTTGTTCAAAATATATTGATAATAAATAAAATAAATCCAGACAGTGTCGATTTTTCATTGGACAAATTTATTATACAATATATATATATATATCTATATTTAATTAAAGAATTAAACATTTGTATGAAATAAAATTGAATTTACATATGCACGTTAATTTAATTAACATTTTCATAATTTCATGAACTATATTACCTAGCTAAATTAAAATTAAATTAATTTAACCTTCCTTTTGTTTCCACTGCAGCCCCAAATATCTGCAGGGAGAAACCCTAATTTTGTACTCAGAAATCGTCTCAAGTCCCGGCGACCACATCTGATCTCGACTTCCCACCAGTTGATTGTAATGCTTCTGCAATTCCGGCGTGCTGCACAGAAATCCGCCGTCGCCGCCGCCGCCGCTGTTATTCCTACCGATCAACCGTTCGATGAAGGCGGGAGCAACCTTGATCAAAATCCGGCCGTCGGATCCTTTCGTGTACTCGAACGGGCATTCCTTGAAGGCGGAAGTGGGCGGTCCGACCCGGTTCTTTATCGGGTCGGATCCGAGCGCCGCTAGACCGGAGGTGGAGAGGACGCCGCCGCCGCCGCCGAAGGAGTCGAGGGGGAGAAGGAAGTAGGTTTCGCCGGCGAGGAGCTCGTCGGCGATGGCGAGGGAAGGAATCGGGCGGCCGATGAAGAATGAGTCGGCGTGGCAGATCATGCGGTCGGGGAACTCGAACATGATCTCGCCGGCGAGATGCCTTCCGGTGATGATCCTGGTGTCGCCGCCGTAGGCGATCAGCTTCACGGTGGAGGCGCGGCGGAAGCAGGCGGAAGGATCGATGACCAACGCATTGCCCATATGGTAAATTAAAATTCAATTTCTTCCCCAATTTCAATTCAAGATATATATATATATATGTATGTATGTATGTATGTATTGAAGAAGGTGCTGAGGGTTAGAGAAGCTATTGACTGGAAGAAGGTGCTGAGGGTTAGAGAAGCTATTGACTTTGAGGTGGTATGTTAATGGAGGTGAATTCGAGTGGAGGTCCCTGGACTTCGACGCCGGACGAATCTGCATCAGAAATGAACGCAGTCAACGGTGACACGTGCTTCAGGTGTCTGAGCTCCGGGATCTTCCAACAATCGCCTTGTGAATACATGCATTTGCAGAGATCAACGGTCAGGAACGGCTGCTGGCTCGTGATGATATATAATTTGTATGATGTTTCCCTAAACCAAATTACTGCGCGACTTCCTTGTCACATATTTTTTAATATATATATATATATATATAAACATGTGTGTTTATATTTTAAATAATAATATTCTAACCTAATTAAATGTAATGCAAATTGTTGATTATGTTAATTAGGTGATGTACTGATAAAATATGCATAAGGAGAAGTTCATGCATTATTTTATTTATTTTCATCTATTTTAAAGCAGTTGAATTTTTACATTATATAATAATATAAAGATTGAATTTTTCAAGATATCAATAATAATAATAATAATAATAATAATAATAATAATAATAATAATAATAATAATAATAATAATAATATCTTTTATTTTATTTTAGTGTTGTAAGTAATATCTTTGAAAGCGTGTTAGGTTATATTGAATATACACTGGATTTTATATATGTGGAGGAGTTCTAACCAAGGGTGCTCATGAATTAATATTTTTGATATAATTACTTCTTTGTACTAAATATTTTATAATACTTGGGGGACCTTTGGTACAGAGAATAGAACCGCAGGGAAATGAGAGTAGAAATGAAATCGGTTTGGTAAAATAAAGAATTCAATTGAGAAATATATATATATATATATATAAAATGCAACTATATGAATGATATATGAAAAATATATGAAAACAGAAAAATAAAAATAATTTATTTTTAAGTTCCATTTATCTGACTCAAACAAACAAGACAAATGATACAATTTTCATTTCCCTGAGCTCATTTCTCTATAAAACACAACTTGTATCTATATTCAATGTATCTATTTACCATTTCGGATTATTCATAATCAAATTTTTATTTTATAAATCAATGAATTAAGTTTGCACAACAATGAAATATATTTACATTTTATATAAAATTATCAACATACTATTTTTTTTTTTAATTTTTATATTATTTGAATTTGTTCATTGTATTTCAAAAGCATTTTAATCAATTTATACTTACGCAGAGTACTTAATTATCACATGACACGTAAATGGCAAATTAATGAGTTTGTTCTCTTTATAACTATTCTTCTTATTTATCGATTATTTATTCTCCATGCTATGTGATATATATATATATATATTATAAATTATCACATTAAGTTATTATTTAAATTAGAAAAATACAATATAATATATAAACCAAACACATTTATTATTATTGATATTTTAATAAAAAGAATGATGTGACATATAAGTATTAATGATTGTTAGTATATTTAAAAATTTTATATTAAATTTAAGATATAAGGTTTTACATAAATAATAAATACTATGATATCTTATATAACTAAAAAAATATAATATATAATACATACTAACACAATATATATATATATAATATTTTTATTACTAAAAAAATAAAAAATTTAATACAAAATATTATTTTTTATATTATCAATATAATTTTTTTAACATTAAAAAAAATACATAAGAAAAAAGGACACATTTTTTTTTTCTTTTTTTTTCACATTTCTTTTTTTTTCTAATTCTTTTTTCTTTTACTAATTCTTATTATAGATACCTTGTGCCTTTAGATAAAAATAACATCATATTGTATGTTACTAAAATACTAGAAATTATGTACTTTATACAACTATATTTATATATTGATATTTATATTTGATACTCCCTCCGTCTCCGATATTTTGTCCGCGTTACCGTAGATACGAGAATTTAGGAGGAATATAATTAGTAAATAATTAAAAATGTATTAATAAAAATAATTATCGTATAATCAAATTAATTATAGATTAAGATTAAGAGAATTGATTAGTATAATTAAAATTAAAAAAATTATAAATTAAATTTTTAAAAATAAGATTAAAATGTATAATTATTATTATTTTTTAAAAATGACAAAATAAATTGAACAGACAAAAATGGAAAAATGACATGAAAATTGGACAAAGTATATATTATTTGTTCATTGTGCCATATTACAGCCATATTATATGTAATAGATATATATATTATAAAGTTAATGATCTTTTTTTAAATTTAATTATAATTAAAACTAAATAACAGTAGTATTTCGTGGACCGACCACAAGAAATTGATTATTAAAAAATTTTGTATGGGGATTGATTTAGATGAGAAAGATTGGTAAAATACTTTCTAAATATATTAATTTATAGTCGCTCCTGTGTAGAACTATAATTTTAATTGAGTTGAGCATAAAATTTACGGAATATTGATATTATTGTATTGAGTGTATTAGTGTAAAAAGTAGTGACAATTGTGTAATAAAAATGAAAAAATAAGAGTAATTTTACGGTGATATGGTTAGTTATGAAAATAAGACTATTATTTTGAAACGGACAAAAATGGTAAACAAGACTATTGTATTTGAACGGAGTATATTAATCAAATAGAAGTTGCAAAATAAAAGTCCAACCTATGGATGGTATTTTACCGAAAATACCAATCGATATTGATACCGTACCTAACTTTTCGGTATGACCAGAATACATACCGGTACGGTATCGATATATACCGTTTATAACGAAAATTTTAATTTCGGTACGGTAGCGATATATGCAGCTTATACCGAAAATTATCGTATATACCGAAAATTATAATTTTAAATTTTAAAATAATTAAAAAAAATTTAATAAATATCACCGTTCTCCGCCTAAAAATATTATGAAAAAATCAATAAATTTTCAGTAGTCTACATATTTTTTTTGTTATGATTTAAAAAATTAATAATTATTATTTATATTAATAATTAAATTATTTAATAAAAGTAATATCGGTACCGATACCGTCAAAAATTTCAGTACAATATCTATACTGTACCGAAATTATCGGTATACCAAAAACTAAACTCTGTTCAAAACCTCACCTTAAAGAGGAGGAGATCTGTTGCTGCTTAGGCCAATTTTTGGAGTTCTTTACTCCACAGAAGAACTTGTCTCTGCTCCACTTTTCGCCTCCTTTCCATCACTAACACTACCTCCCATCCCGGGCTCGCCACCAGACCTACAGAAATAAGCCTAACCTGAATCAGGGCAATGAAAATGCATAAGCTTTTTCAAGATTCGAGAACAGTAATGTAGTTTGAAGCCGGTGCGCGTGTGGTTGAACCTTATGGCTTGATCGGTTGCGTCGCAGTCGGGTGCCACAGATTGTTCTTTACCAATGGCTGCTGCGGAGGAGGAGGAAGTCCTTCCAGAGGCCTTTTAGAAGCCTGTGGATAAGAAATTTGATAAAGAGATATGTCGAATAAAAGCAATAGTATCATGGATTTGTGTGAATTTGTAAAGCCGTACAGAGATATCGTTCTTCTTGGGAATCTCGACCTTGCTGCCACCGGTTTTGTCTATCCTTGCACCCTACATTTGTCGAAGAAAATTGAGTTAGGACAGAAGTCTCGAACGTACAATTAAGATGCTGGGAATGTAAGTTTGCTTGCAGACCTTTGCACTCCCTCTGCGCGGAAGTGCGAGAGTCCAGACATTGTCGCATTCATTTGTGCAGGTGGTGGTTGAAAGATGTTCAATATATTCTCCCTGCAATTTCTTTCGGCTTGCTTTAGAAAAACTAGATCCCTGCAACACCATGTCTGTACCTCATTGCGAAATCATCTCTACTGTCGGCACCAGGGACACCTTTGGTAGACATTTCGAGCAATCTATCGGAATAGTAACCAGGGGAAGAGTTCTGCTTGAATTTTTGGTTCTGGACGATGTCCAGCCCATCCGATCCTTGAGGGACCTTAAAACTTGCTCTATCCCTTTTCAATCCAAGTGATGGCCTGCTGGAGCCGATCTCGAATCCCTGCAATAGTGAGGCCAAAATAAATGTAATTACTCATAAGCTGAGTAATCTTGACTCCCATGCGGAAGAAAATATAAACAAAAATTACAGAAGTAGACTTTCAGAAAATGCTAAATACAGAAGTCTGCAACAATTTATCCATGATACAGAACTTTTAATACGATAATAACAAAACAATATAAAATCTGATGGCCACGATCGCATCTACGCCCGTTGGAGGAAACTAGAAAGCCAAAAATGGCAGCAATCAGACAATACAATTATTCAAGCAAGACAGACGTCGAGATCAATAAAAACTTATTGCACTAAAGGGAACATCTGGAGCATCTAAATAATCATAAGAGAATTTATCATATTCAGATAGTCAAACACGTCAACAGTTTCTTTCACACCAATTTCATCAATGTTATTGCCCTATTATTGCCGTATTATTGCACTAGATGGCACCATAATACTTCACGATCATATAGTTTTATAAAAAGTCCCAAATAAGTAAACAATTAGAAATGAAAAAGGAAATCATTCCAAAATTCACTTGCCTTTCCAAACTTGAGCTGCTGGTGGAGATTCAAAATACCACTTGGAGCAGGTGAAAAGACATCGATTTCGCAAGAAAATGAATTTCTTTTTATTTGAGTGTATAATGGACTCCCCCAAAAAACATTGGCGCATGTAATGCCGTAGTTTTCTGGTTAATGAAAATTAGAGGGTTAAAAAAAGTAAAGCTTTCAGATATAGAAAAAGCGACATTCAAAGGCAACTAAAACATGCAAAGAAATAAATAAAGCATTGCTTCCGGTAATACCTTAAGAACACCATCATTCAAAGGCAACTAAAACATGCAAAGAAATTACCATGGAAGATGACTAAACATACTAATTCAATGAACCTACCATCAACTTGAACCTGTTTTGATGTGAAGGAACCAGGAGGAAGACTGTCAAAATCGACACCAAGCGGTGGACCATCCTCCGTGTAGAGGCTTCCCAGCTGTTTCTTGACAGCAGTTATCGCAGGGTTTTCAGACGGGTGCTTCAGCTTTAAGTAACCTGAAGGGCCTGACCTAGGTTTTGCAACAGGCGCATCCAGAGGAGATTTCGGCAGTAAGTACCGGGAAGTGGCCATATAAGCGGGCTTTACTATATTATGGCCAGGCAGGCTCCTCAATGAAGAACTACTCCCAGACGATGTGTTGTATATACTTCTGCTGTTTCCGGAAAATGTGAGTTCCACACCTGAATGTTCTGGAAGAATTATCCTACCACTTTCGACCTCCTTGGTAAAATAATTCCTATTATCTCCTACTTTTGTACTGCCGCAAGAATCTGGCCTATGCCCGCTGCCATGATCTTGCACTACTCCACTCGAGTGGTCCGGCCCTCCAGCTACAGAGCTAACATAAAGCTTCTTGTCTTTCAACCTTCGGTGACAAAACCATCCATAGACTTGCTGCTCAGTCAAGCCTGTCGCCTTAAGAAATTTCTGCTTTTATCGTATCTGATGGGTATTTATTTTCTGGAAGATAAGGGATCATTGAATTATTATTAGAGTGCAGGACACAAAACCTTGATCGACAATATAGAAGTATAAGTTACCCGAATAACAGTTCTCCAATGCTTGAATCTGAGCAGGCGTCTTCACAGTCCTCTTCTTGTTCTTCTCAGCCAGGACTTTATCATCTTCAATGTGCATCTCAGATGGTTTTCTGTCTTTGTGCCCTGAAACAAATGAAAGCATATAACAATTTGATCAGATGAAAGAAGTGAAAAATCAACAAACACAGTGGCGGGTAACAGTTGCTAGAAGCATTAAACCTTTCAACATAAACATGGTAGTACTTCGAATAATCTGGTCTTTATTTAAAAAACATATATATGCTCAAAAAAGGTATCAGTTATTGATGTTTGCAATCTCAACAATAAATTACATACTCGTCCGCTCATTAGTGCCCGACAAAGAGTTATACTAAAAAGTAACATACATCACGCATTTGAAGCAAGATCCAACTGAAAAGTCAATACTTCCGAAAAGGAATTTGTCCACGATTAAGTGTTTGTAAGATAAAGTCACATCTCGACAAAATATAATCTTACTAATATCTTGACCTAAGAGAAAGAGACTAACCGTTATACCGTTAGCATTATTTACGACAAAATGTGATTTTATTAATATCTTGACATTGGAGAAAATGACTAACCGTTATACCGTTTATCAGTTATATAATTATTTACTACCAAGTTTTCCAACAGATTGCTCATAATCTGCCAGCAAAGATAATGAAAACAGCTGAAACTCAACATAGCTCCAAAGGTTTCATAGACATTGGTGAACATGCTTCGAATTTAGGATCCCGAATCCCAGAAATATGGCAAAGGAGCCAAATATCTGGACTAACATTTTTGCATTTAAGCTATTTATTGACAATGATATTTCATTGTTCCTATGAGCATAAAACAATTATAGTGGCAAATAAAAAATCAAATCATCCAAGAACAACATAAACCTAAGAACCCCACAAGCACAACCCCACAAAATCTACATAATATTATCGCACCAATCATTCCTCTTAAATTTGTATGTACACTTTGTATGCCCACTATAGCTATAATCAACACCAAGCACCAACAACCCAACCTTCAATTTTTTATCAAGAGCTTTTGTTAATCTTGCACAATTGTAAAAATCAAATGTAACAGATCAAAAATCGCAGCCTAAGATTTCATGATTCTAGTCAATAAAAAACCACAACACTATACCTCCATCAATAACTTTACACATAGGAAAAAACAAAGGAACAAGGGCATCTACCTTTTTCCATGGCAATGCACGATGAAGAAAAAAAAAAAAAAAAAAAAACTTATAGGGTTTTCAATTTCCCCCAAATCTTACTCCACCACTCCTCTACCGACCAGCAAAACTTCGCCCAAACCCAAATTGGGCAGAGAAAACAAGAAACTCTAGATAAAGAGAGCTCAAGAGAGAGACACGAATGTAATAAAGATTTTAGGTAGGCATATATAAATCAGTGTGCCACCGCTCCACTCCGCCGATGGATTAGGGTTCTGTTTATTGAGCCAGGGTTAGGGAATCGAACCCAAAAGGCTCAATTGAATTCGAATTACAATTACCTAGGTTGAGATTTAGTATATTCTTGAATCAAATTTTCCTATTCTGATCACTTACCATATATTCATCAATCCCTTATCCCGCTGCGTCTCAATTAGAGTATAGCCTTTTTCTCGTCATCTTAGCATTTGTCCCTACCCAATCTTCTTCAAAATTCCATGCGGTCGGGGAACTCGAACATGATCTCGACGGCGAGGTGCCTTCTGGTGATGATACGGGTGTCACCGCCATAGGCGATGAGCTTCACGGCGGAGGCGCGGCGGAAGCAGACGGACGGGTCGACGACCAACGCATTGCCCATATGGTAACTTAAAATCCAATTTCTTCTCCAATTTCAATTCCAATTTCAATTCCAATCAACGAAATTTGCGAATCTGAAACGGTGATCGAATTGAGAATTAATTATGGTATATAGTTTGAGAAGGACCTGCGTTATCATAATTTTTATTATTTTTATTTTTATTATTATAATTTTTTCTATGAATAATAGAATTTTAGATAAAATATTTTTTTTAAAAAAAATATATATTTTATAAATTTTTATATTTGAATTAAAATTTATCAATTTTAATTATATTATAATTACTATTGATTTTGTTTATTTTAACTTTATCAATTATTTTAAATTCAAAATAATTTTTTTTTAAATATAAAAAAAAATAAAATTTTAGACCAAAACATAAAATACATTGCTTTGTAACAATATACACTGAATGAAGTATACTTGTACATGAACATGTAGTTCCCAAGTCAAGTCAGCTGGACGTCACTTTCGTTATGTCAACGCCAACAAATTAATTAAAATTGTTTATAAAGAGACTAAAATTAATGAGTTTTTATATTAGGACCAAAATTGATTTTAGATTTCAATACAATTTCAAACATAAACATATACAATAGTATTAAAATAATAAATTAATTTTTAATACTACAGTTTTCCAGATCAGCTGCTAAGTCACTTCTTTATGTCAATGTCAACAATTTTTTAAAGAGAGAGACCAAAATAATTGAAATTATTTATAATAATTCCTGGATCTTTCTTTTATATAGTGACCAAAATTTATAAACTTTGATTATATTGGAAAAAAAATGGATTTTTTCCCGCATAAAAATTAAGAAGTGAATCCTAAATTTTATTTTAAAAATGAATTTTGCTTTATACGGGTTAAGAAAAATAAATTCAAGAAGATCCAGTCCTAATGATTTTTTCCTATAAAATAATAAAATACATAAATCTTTTTGGCGTATAACATCAAATTCAACAACTATATAAAGACAAAGCAAGCACAGCACAAGTAGAAAAGAGAAATAAATCAACAATGCTGTACAAGAAAGCATTGAGGCAAAAAAATGTACATAATAATATCAACAACAAAACTATACAACAACAGGGTGAGTGGTGAGTGTTTCCCGCCCCACCACCACCACCACCACCACCACCACAGTCGCCGCCACAACACCACAATTGCTAAGTCATACACATACACATGAATCATTCTACTTCAATAATGCAAAACAAAAGCACTAAACTCTGTTCATAACCTCACCTTAGGGTGGAGATCTGCTGCTGCTAAGGCCAATATTTGGAGTTCATTACTCCACACAAGAACTTTTCTCTGCTCCACTTTTCGCCTCCTTTTCATCACTAACACTACCTCCGGTCCCGGGCTCGCCACCAGACCTACAGAAATAAGCATAACCCGAATCAGGGAAATGAAAATGAAAAAGCTTTTTCAAGATTCGAGATCAGTAATATAGTCTGAAGCCATTGTGCGTGCGGTCGAACCTTATGGCTGGGTCGGTTGCGTCGCAGGCGGGTGCCACAGATTGTTTCTTTACTGACGGTTCCTGCTGCGGAGGAAGTCCTTCCAGAGGCCTTTTTGAAGCCTGGGGATAAGAAATTTGTTAAAGAGAAATATTGAATGAAAGCAATAGTATCATGGAGTTGTGTAAATTCCTAACGCATACAGTGATATCGTTCTTCTTGGGAATCTCGATCTTGCTGCCACCGGTTTTGCCTATCCTTGCGCCCTACATTTATCGAAGAAAATGGAGTTAGCACAGAAGTCTCGAATGTACAATTAAGACGCTGGGGAAGTAAGTTTGCCTGCAGACCTTTGCACTCCCTCTGTGCGGAAGTGCGAGAGTCCAGACATTGTCGCATTCATTTGTGCACGTGGTAGTTGAAACATGTTCAATAGTAATACATTCTCCCAGAAAATCATCTCTACTGTCGCTACCAGCGACACCTTTAGCAGAAATTTCGAAGTGATCTACCAGGGGAAGAGTTTCGTTTCAATTTTTGGTGCCCGAAGTTGTGCAGCCCATCAGATCCTTGAGGGACCTTAAAACTTGCTCTATCCATTCTCAATCTGAGTGATGGTCAGCTGGAGCCAATCTCGAATCCCTGCAATATTGTCACCATATTACTCATATGATATGCAATCCGACTCCCATGTGGAACAAAATATGAACAATAATTAACTAAGTAGACCGTTGGACAATGGTAAATACGAAAATCGCAACTATTTATAGAATAGTTCTACAGGATAACCGCTTAAAATGTACAAACAGAACTTTTAATGCAATAAAAACAAAATGATCTAAAGTTGAATGACCATTATTGCATCTATGCCAGTTGGAGGAAACTAGAAAGCCAAAAAATGCAGCAAATAAACAAGACAATTATTCAAGCAAGATAGACGTCAAGATTCATAAAAGCTTATAGCACTAAAGGGAAAATCCTAAGAATCTAAACAATTATCAGAGAAATTATAGTCAAACACGTCAACAGTTTCTTCACCCCAATTTCACGGTATTTGTTGCCCTATTATTGCACTAAAGGGCGCCATTATATTTCATGATTATATAGTTCTATGAAAAGTTTTAAATAAGTAAATGTTATAAATGAAAAATGAAATCATTCCTAAATTCACTTGCCTTTCCAAACTTGAGCTGCCGGTGGAGATTCAAAATACCACCTGGAGCAATTGAAATGCCTTCTCTCCTACCGTAGTTTTCAGAGGTTCAAAAACAAAACGTCAGTAAGTAGAAAACCTGAGATATGTCAATAAATAAAGTATTGCTTCCCATAATACCATAAGAACACCATCACAGATTCAAAAACAACTAAAATACGAAAAGAAATTAGCATGGAAGACGACTGAACATACTAATTCAATGAACCTACCATGAACTTGAACCTGTTTTGATTTGAAGGAACCAGGAGGAGGACTGTCAAAATCGACACCGAGTGTTGGACCATCCTCTGTATAGAGGCTTCCCAGCTGTTTTTTGACAGCAGTTACAACAGGATTTTCAGACGGGCACTTCAGCATCTTTAAATAACCCGAAGGGCCTGACCTAGGTTTTGCAGCAGGCATATCCAGAGGAGATTTCAGAGGTAAGTACCCGGAAGTTTCCATATAGGTGGGCTTTATTATATTATTGCCAGGCAGGGTCCTCAATGACAAACTACTCCCGGATGATGTGCCGTATATACTTCTTTTGTTTTGGAAGAATTACCTACCACTTTCGACTTCCTTGGTATCAAAACCTCCTAGTTTTGTACTGCCGCAAGAATCTGGCCTATGCCCACTGCCATGATCTTGCACTACTCCACTTGAGTGCTCCGGCCCTCCAGCTGCAGAGCTAAAATAAAGCTTTTTGTCTTTCAACCTCCGGTGACAAAACCATCCATAGACTTGCTGCTCAGTCAAGCCTGTCGCCTCAGAAATTTCTGCTTTTACCGTATCTGATGGGTATTTATTTTCTTTAATATAAGGATCATTGAATTATTATTACAGTGAAGGGCACAAAATCCTGATAGACATTATAGAAGTATAAGTTACCCGAATAAAAGTTCTCCAATGCTCGAATCTGTGCAGGAGTCTTTCTCGTTCTCTTCCTGTGCTTCTCAGCCAGGACTTTATCGTCTTTCAAGTGCATCTCAAATGATTTTTGGTTTAGGTGTCTTGAAACAAATGAAAGCATACAACAATTTGATCGGATGAAAGATGTGAAAAATCAACGAACATAATGGCTAGTAACAGTTGCTAGAAGCATTAATAAATATGACAACACTTCGAATCCAGGTTACCATGTATTCTCATCTTTATTTAAAAAATATATCTATGCTCAAAAAAGTTATCTCAGCTATTTGTGTGTGAGATCTTGACAATAATTACATACTCATCCGCTCATTAATGCCCGACAAAGGGTTGTAATAAGTAACATACATCACGGCAATTGACGCAAGATCCAAATAACAAGTCAATACTTCACATGTCGACAAAATGTAATTTTAATATTTTGACCTCGGAGAAAATGACTAACCGTTATACTGTTATCATTTATATGATTGTTTACTATCACCAAAGCACACTATTCCTAATTTTCCAACAGATTCCTCATGATCTGTGCTAGAGAAGATAAGGAAAAGAGCTGGAACTCAACAAAGCTCCAAGTTTTCATAGACATTGGTGAATCATGCTCCGAGATTATGATTGTGAATTCTGATAGACGCGAGAAGTTACAAAGCAGACGAATATCTGGACTACCATTTCTGCATTTTAGTTACTTCTTCGAAACTAATATTACATTCTTACTCTTGAGCATCAAACAATTCTAATGGCAAGTAATCAAGTCATCAAGAACCTCATAAACCTAAAAACCACAAAAGCTCACCTCCACACAAATCTACAAAATGTAAACGCATGAATCATTCATTGGAAGTTTATATCTACACTTTGTATGCCCACAATCTGTATCATCAACAACAAGCACCCAGAACCAACCTTCAATTTTTTATCAAGAGCTTTTGATAATCTTGCAGCATAGTAAAAATCAAATGTTGCAGATCAAAAAACTGCCTAACATTTCATGAGTCTAGTCAATTCAAAACCACAACACCACACCTCCATCAATAACTTTATGCATGGAAAAAATAAGGAACAAGGTCATCTACCTTCTTCCATGGCAATGAATGATAAAAAAGTTCTAGGGTTTTCAATTTCCCTCAAATCTTCCTCCACCAAATCCTCCTCAATCAGCAAAACTTCAAAACAAGAAACTCTTGAGATAGAGAGTGCCACACCTCCACGGATGGATTAGGGTTCCTGCCAGGGTGAACGAATCGAACCCAAAAGGTTCAATTGAATTTAAATTCGAATTGGCTAAGTTGGAGTTTGGTATATTCTTACTCAAATTTCCTATTATTATCGCTTACCATATAGTCATCTATCCCTTAACCCTCTGCTTCTGAATTAGGGTATAGCCTTTTTCTCGTTATCTTCCGTTTGTCCTTACCCAATCTTCTTCAAATTTGCATGATGTTGGCGAACTCGAACATGATGTCACCGGTGAGGTGCCTTCCCGTGAAGATACGGGTGTCGCCGCCGCCGTAGGCGATGAGCTTCGTGGCGGAGGCGCTGCGGAAGCGATCAGCGATCAACGACCAACGCATTGCCCATATGGTAAATTAAAATTCAGTTTCTTCCCCAATTTCAATTCCTATCAACGAAAATTGCGATGCGATTACAAAAGGTGATCGAATTGAGAATTACTCATCACTAATTTGTCAAACTTATTCGTCCGTCCCACCCTACCCTACCACCTATAGGCGGCCGTCCGTCCTACAGCCGCACCAACACCGCTGTCATCCCGTTTGATGGATCTGCTCCGCCGCTGGCGGTCAACAACTCAGGCAGGAAATGCTGAGAAGTGGGCAAGGAAGGGGTTTAGCAAGATAGCATTCATTTAAGAGATAGAGTTTTTACTTCTCCCTTCCTTTCTACAGTCGTAATGATGGTGGTACAGACCCGGGGATACCACTCATTACAAGATCTTTGAGACTATCCTATGGTTGTAATTTATTTTTTTAATTTTTTTATATATATAATTATATATTTTAATCAAATTTTAAATTTTATATAAATTTTTTTAATTAAAATATTTTGTTATTTTAATTTTAATATATAAAAATCTCATTCATTTTAGTCTTATTATAAACAATTTCAATCAATTTTGATCTAAACTATAAACAATTTCAATCAATGCAACTATGTACAATTATACACGGTCATTTAATAACATGATCATGTATATTTCAATATATAATTATACATAACCATGTTGTTACACAATCATGTATAATTTTACACGACCGTGTATATTTCTGTTTTAGTCTAAAATTTTATTTTTTTGTTATATTTTTATAAAAAAAAATTATTTGAATTAAAAATAGTTGATATAGTTAAAATGGACAAAATAAATAATAATCATAATATAATTAAAATTTATCAATTTAAATTCAAATATAAAAATTTATAAGATATATTCTTTTTCAACGTTTTGTCTAAAATTTTATTACTCATAAAAAAAAATTTTCTTACAAACATCCAATAACACAACTATTTTTTAATTTTGTATATTATAGTAGTATTAAAAATTAATTTATTATTTCAATACAATAATTAGATGTTTGTAAGAGAATTTTTTTTGGTAAATAGTAAAATTTTAGACAAAATCTTGTAAAAGAACATACTCGATAAATGTTTATATTTGAACTAAAATTGATACATTTTTAATTATATTATGATTATTATTAATTTTTTTTCCATTTTAACTGTATCAACTATACTAAATTCAAAACAAAAATTAAAAAAATATAACAAAAAAATAAATTTTTAAACCAAAACAGAAAGGTACATGGCCGTATAGAATTATACACTGAAATATATATGGTCATGTTGTTATATAGCCGTATATTAATGTATATAGCCGCGTAACAACATGGTCATATATAATTATACACTGAAATATACATGACCATGTAACAACATGGTTGTGTATAATTGTACATGGCCGTGTAGTTTCTAAGTCAGCCGCCACGTCACTTCTGTCGTGTCTACGTCAGCAATTTCTGTTAATTTTTCAACGGAGGAACCAAAATTGATTTAAATTATTTATAACGGGACTAAAATTGATTGAAATTGTTTATAATGAGACTAAAATTGATGAATTTTTTATATTGTGACTAAAATTGATAAATTTTTGTTATATTGGAACCAAAATTGATTTTTTCCTATTTGATAATATACACTCCTTAGGCTATCTCCAACTCATATACTTTATTTACACAGTTCAAACTCCAAATATATAGTTGCTACTGTAATCATAACTCTATTTTTCATCAATATTCTTCAAATATTCTACTTTTCTCATTATTTTAAACAACTTTTTATATTTATAATTTACAATAATTTTTTTTAAAAAATTAGAAAAATAAAATTTAAATTTAAAAATTAAAATTAAATAAATTAAATAAAAAAACAACGCCAAAAAATGATGCAGAATTTGGTGCGGATTGGCCGGGTTGGAGATGCCCTTGTACCTACATACTTAATAAATATTAATAAGTTTAATTAAATTTTTAACTTTTTACTCATACATTTATTCAAAATTTCTTTATTTCTATTTTTGTATACTCAATAAATAAATATTTTTATTTATATTTAAAATTTTTCATTTTTAATAAAATTAATTTTAAGTTAATTCTCAATAAATAAAATTTATCATATCTCATATATTAAAATATCGTATTCGAGTTCATCTCTTGTGGGAGACTACTTCCTAGTGAATAGCCATGCACAGATGACAAATAATTTTGTTGTGTTATTTTCTTTGAATATTATATTATATTTTTTTAATTTAATATAAAACCTCAAAAAATACACAGTGGGAGAAGAGAGTAATATTCATTAATAAGTATGACCCCTATTAAAGAAAAAACAAAAAAACAAAAAAATTATTATATTATCTCCGTCCAAATAGAAAGTATATATATTATTTTTTTTTTCCACAAATGTATCTACTTTATCATAGTATTGTTACTTTTTATATAAAGCAGCAAGAATTTTTTTTTTACAATACTTTTAACTATTTATTACAATTAAAATAATTATTATTTATTAAACTCCAAAAATAAATATATACTTACTATCCGGACAAAGAAAACTGATGGACTTACTTAAGATTTAATTAAATTATATGAAAATCTTCGAATTTGAGAAAAATCAGAAGAGTGAGACAAAGAAAAAAACACTTAGGGTGTGTTTGTTTGGGGGTTTGGATTTTGAGTTGGGATTTGAATAGTAAAAATTTTGAATTTGAATAGTTGTATGACGTGATATAAATAGGTGTTGATGTGATGTTTTGAATGTAAAATTGATTTTTAGTATAATATAAAAAATGAAAAATAGGTGTTTGATGTGATATTTTTGGGGGGAAAAAATTGGATGAATAGTAGAAATCTTATTAAATCCCCCAAACCAACACACCCTTAGAGTACAAAATAAAAATATCACATTGCAACACTTGGCAATACAAAACACTAGCTAGTTATCATTTTAAATGTATATTAGTATTGGCATGACTATTATTATTTATTAAAATATGAAAGATACGGTTTGGACATAGGCCTAAAAGCACCTGAACAAGAAGGAGACTTAACCAAAAAAGTGGTGTCAGAGCTCATTGACCACAGAGCCGCTTAACAGCAATGGAGCTTCAAGCCTCGGAGCTAAACACTGCTGCCTCCACAGAGCGAAGACAACAGTTTCCATTGGATTGTGATGCTTCCACAGATCCCAAAGCAGTAGCTTCCATGGACTTTAGGACAACAACTCCTTGGACTATGGCGACTTCATCCCGGAACAATGTTTCCATAAGGTCAGAAAGTGTTGTCTCCATTGGGTTGAAAACAACTACTTTCATTGGACTGCGGTGCTTCCACAAAGCAGAAGAAGGTTGCCTCCACAAGATAGAAAACAACAGCTTCCATAGATCGTGGGATAACTATATCCGTTGGCCCTAGGTTAATAATTTCGTACTTAACATTAGCGGAGGGCCCATGCACTCTCATACTTTATTCAAAAAGCTCCATGGAATAAGCCAACAAGAGGAAAACTGAAGATTCCGTTTAACTCGAGGCTGTTGGGGATACATCTCCGTGGACCGGCTAGGAGTACGATGGAAACAAGTTGGAGTAAGCAGCAGATCTGATTCAGAGGCAATAGAAGAAGTTCAGAGCAAGTGGAACCCTGTCCAGAGACAATGAAAACGGTTGAGAGCTGATGGAAAGAGATTACTAGGTGGTTAGGAGTTTATAGAAGGAGGTTATCAGGTAGTTATGAGGTAGTGGAAAGAGGGTTACCAGGAAGTTGGAAGCAGTGGTGGGAGGTTACCAGGCGATTGAGAGGGGTGGAAGAATAATTGTAACCGCCCTTTTAGTGGGAGAGGTGGTTATTCTAACTTAGGATTAAAACAAGAAAAAAACACGACACACAGACGCACAAGAAGATTGACTCGTATTTTTCTCTATTTTCTTTTCATGTTCTAGTTTCTTTTTTAGGCATTTTAATTCGAATTACATGCTTTTTATCCGCTTTCTAGTAGATTTATCCGAGTTTTAATAGATGTTAGTTTAAATCCATCGAAATCGATCGTTTAGGCTTGAAGCCTCGCTTAGGCTCGAAGCCGTGCAGGCTCCACCGAAGGAGCCGCTCAAAATCCGACGACGGATAGGCTCTTTGGAGTACTTCCGGAACCCACACCGACAAATCGACAAACTATTTTGGAACCTCCGAATTTTAAGATCCAACATATACATATTATGGTAAAATAGACGGAAAAAATATATATATAATTGAAGCTAATTGAGCATTTGAATATATTTATCAATTATTATATATTTTATCATTTTAATAATATTTATATTTCCTATTTTTCTAATTATAATAACTATTTAATAATTATGCATATTATTCTTCTTTTTTTTTATAGAAATTATGCAAATTATTCTTCAAGTTATATATCATGTATTATTTTATATTTTTAGACTAATGTATTTTTATATTAGGTATAGAGAATTATTCTGGTAGTATAAAAATAATATTTTGTATTGAATTATTATTATTTATTTTTTTCAATTTTTTGGTATTAGGAAAAATATACTTTTGAGTCCGACATACGAAAATAGTAAAAAAATTACTTTAAATTTGTGACGGATTTTATATATTTGAAATTATTGTATGAATATAATAAATAAATAATACAATAAATGATTTGTTATTTTTTCTTTATTCATTTTTATTGACTAATAAAAAAATATTGAAGTGGTTTAATTGTAACTTAAAATTTGAAATTAAGAAAGGGTTACATGCAGAAATAATAAAATATTTTATATTAAATTTAATATTTTATATAATATATTTTTTTTTTTTTAAAAAAAAAAAACTACCATTTGATCAACAGTATTTCCAAAAATTATGTTTGCACAACAATTGTAAAGATTTTAGCACTATTAACTTTTTAAAACATGTAACATCTTATCCAAATAGGAATTACGAATTGAATTTCAAATTTTATTTTAATGTTTCAAATCTTACCACAAAACACTCGGTCCACTTTTATCTTTTCTGTGGATTAAAAATCAATTTTGCCTATAGACATAAAGATAAGTAAACTCGAGGAAGATTTAATCCTACCGATTTCATATAAAATACATTAGATTTTTCTCCTATATCATCTAATTCAACAACTATTTAAAGACAAACCAAACACAGCCCAAGTAGAAAGGGAAATAAATCAACAATGCTGTACAACAAAACATTTGAGGCAAAAAATTGTTGATAGTAATTATCAACAACAAAACTATACAACAACAGGGTTGGGGTGAGTGTTTCCCACCCCACCACCACCACCACAGCCGCCGCCACCACTGCTCACAGTCATACATATCATTCTACCTCAATAATCCAAAACATAAACACTAAACTCAGTTCAAAACCTCACGTTAAAGCCAATCTTTGGAGTTCTTCAATCCACAGAAGAACTTGTCTCTGCTCCACTTTTCGCCTCCTTTTCATCACTAACGCTACCTCCGATCCCGGGCTCGCCACCAGACCTACAGAAATAAGCGTAACCCGAATCAGGGCAATGAAAATGCAAAAGCTTTTTAGATGCAAGATTAGTAAATCTAGTTTGAATCAGTGTTGAACCTTATGGCTGGATCGGTTGCGTCGCAGGCGGGTGCCACAGATTGTTTCTTTATTGATGGTTCCTGCTGCGGAGGAGGAAGTCCGTCCAGGGGCCTTTTTAAAGCCTGTATGATAAGAAATTTGTTAAAGAGAAATGTCGAATGAAAGCAATAGTATCATGGATTTGTGTAAATTCCTAAAGCGTACAATGATATCGTTCTTCTTGGGAATCTTGATCTTGCTGCCACCGGTTTTGCCTATCCTTGATCCCTACATTTATTGAAGAAAATGGAGTTAGCACAGAAGTCTCGAACGTACAATTAAGACGCTGGGAATGTAATTTTGCTTGCAGACCTTTGCACTCCCTCTGCGCGGAAGTGCGAGAATCCAGATATTGTCGCACGTGCTGGTTGAAACATTTTGGTGCCCGACAATGTCCAGCCCATCCGATCCTTGAGGGACCTTAAAACTTGCTCTATCCCTTTTCATTCCAAGTGATGGTCCGCTGGAGCCGATCTCAAATCCCTGTAATATTGAGACCAAAAATAAGGTAATTACTTATATGACGCATAATCCGACTCCCATGCGGAAGAAAATATGAACAAAAATTAAGTAGACTGTTGGACAATGGTATATACATTAGTTGCAACAATTTATAGAATGGTTCTTCACTATAATAACTAAAATGAACCAACAGAACTTTTAATACAAAAAAAACAAAATGATCTAAAAGTTGAATGGCCACTATTGTATTCACTGCCGTTGGAGGAAACTAGAATGCAAAAAAGGACGGCAATCAGACAAGACAATTATTCAAGCAAGACAGACATCCAGATCCATAAAAACTTATTGCACTAAAGGGCAACACCTACAGCATCTAAATAATCATAAGAGAATTAAACATATTCAGATAGTTAAACACATCAACGGTCTCTTTCACACCAATTTCATCGATATTATTGCCCTATTATTGCCGTATTATTGCACTAGAGGGCGCCATAATATTTAACGATGATATAGTTTTACAAAAAGTTCCAAATAAATAAATGATTAGAAATGAAAAAAGAAATCATTCCTAAATTCACTTGCCTTTCCAAACTTGGGGTGCTGGTCGAGATTCAAAATACCACCTGGAGCAGGTGAAATGCCTTCTCTCCTACCGTAGTTTTCTGGTTAATAAAAATTAGAGGTTCAAAAACAAAAAGTCAGTAAGGAGAAAACCTGAGATATGTCAATCAATAAGGTATTGCTTCCCATAATACCATAAGAACACCATCACAGATTCAAAGACAACTAAAATACGAAAAGAAATTAGCATGGAAGACGACTAAACATACTAATTCAATGAACCTACCATGAACTTGAACCTGTTTTGATTTGAAGGAACCGGGAGGAGGACTGTCAAAATCGACACCGAGTGTAGGACCATCCTCTGTATAGAGGCTTCCCAGCTGTTTTTTGACAGCAGTTACAGCAGGATTTTCAGAGGGGCGATTCAGCAGCTTTAAATAACCCGAAGGGCCTGACCTACGTTTTGCAGCAGGTATATCCAGAGAAGACTTCGGAGGTAAGTATCGGGAATTCTCCATATAGGTGGGCTTTAGTATATTATTGCCAGGCAGGGCCCTCAATGATGAACTACACCCGGACGATGTGTCGTATACACTTCTTTTCTTTCCAGAAATCACGAGTTCCGCACCTGAAAGTTGTGGAAGAATTACCCTACCACTTTCGACTTCCTTGGTATCAAAACCTCCTAGTTTTGTACTGCCGCAAGAATCTGGCCTATGCCCACTGCCATGATCTTGCACTACTCCACTCGAGTGCTCCGGCCCTCCAGCTACAGAGCTAAAATGAAGCTCCTTGTCTTTCAACCTCTGGTGACAAAACCATCCATATACTTGCGTCTCCGTCAAGCCTGTCACCTCAGAAATTTCTGCTTTCATCGTATCTGATGGGTATTTATTTTCTGGAATATAAGGATCATTGAATTATTATTAGAGTGAAGGGCACAAAACCTTGATCGACATTGTAGAAGTATAAGTTACCCGAATAAAAGTTCTCCAATGCTTGAATCTGTGCAGGAGTCTTCATTGTTCTCGTCCTGTTCTTCTCAGCCAAGACTTTATCATTTTCCAAGTGAATCTCAGATGATTTGCCGTCTCTGTGCCCTGAAACAAATGAAAGCATACAACAATTTGATCAGCTGAAAGATGTGAAAAATCAACAACACAATGGCAGATAACAGTTGCTAGAAGCATTAAATCTTCCACCATAAACATGACAGTACTTGAAATACAGGTTATCGTGTAATCTGGTTTTTATTTAAAAAACATATCTATGCTCAAAAAAGGTATCTCAGTTATAGATGTATGCAATGTCAACAATAAATTACATACTCGTCCGCTCATTAATGCCCGAAAAGGAGTTATACTTAAAAGTAACAGACATCACGGCATTTGACGCAAGATCAAAGTAACAAGTCAATACTTCCAAAATGAATTTGTCCACAATTAAATGTTTGAAGGATAACATCCATTAAATTCACATGTCGGCAAAATATAATCTTATTAATATCTTGACCTTGGAGAAAATGAATCAACTGTTATACCGTTATCATTTATATGATGACTTACTATCACCGAAGCAAAGTAATCCTAATAATCCAAAAGATTCCGCATAATCTGCTAGAGAAAATAATGAAAACAGCTGAAACTCAACAAAGCTCCCAAGTTTCATAGACCGGTGAACATGCTTCGAAATTAGGATCCTGGCAAAGAAGCCAAATATCTGGACTACCATTCCTGCATTTTAGCTACTTCTTGGACACTTATATTACATTCTTCCTCTGAGCATCAAACAATTCTAATGACAAGTAATCAAGTCATCCAAAACAACATAAACCTAAGAATCACAAAGCACAACTCCACACAATCTACGGAATATAAGAGCCTGAATTAATTCATCAGAAATTTGTATCAAGAGCTTTAGTTAATCTTGCACAATTGTAAAAATCAAATGATGTAGATAAAAAAACGCCTAAGATTTCATGACTCTAGTCAATCAAAAACCACAACACCACACCTCCATCAATAACCTTATACTGACACAAAAAAGAGAAAAAAAAAAAAAAAGGAACAAAGTCATCTACCTTCTTCCATGGCAGTGCAAGGGTTTTCAATATCCACAAATCTTCCACCGCCAACTCCAACTCACGGCCGGCAAAACTTCACCAAACTCAACTTGGGCGGAGAAAACAAGAAACTCTTGAATTAGAGAGGGCGAGAGATAGGGAGCGAGCGCCCACCGAGTCGTTGTGAATGCAATGAAGATTTTAGGTAAGCATATATAAATCTGTCTGCGGCTGCCGCTCCACTCCACAGATGGATTAGGGTTCATGTGTATTGAGCCAGTGTGAACGAAGCCAACCAAGAAGGGCTCAATTGAATTCGAATTACAATTGGCTAGGTTGGGATTTGGTATATTCTTGAATTAAATTTTCCTATTCTGATCACTTACCATATATTCATCAATCCCTTAACCCGCTGCGCCTGAATTAGGGTATAGCCTTTTTCTCGTCATCTTCGCGTTTGTCCTTACCCAATCTTCTTCAAATTTCCATGCGATCAGCGAACTCGGACATGATCTCGCCGGCGAGGTGCCTTCCGGTGATGCTCCGGGTGTCGCCGTCGTAGGCGATGAGCTTCACGGCGGAGGCGCCGCGGAAAGAAGAAGGACGGATCGAAAAAAATGTTTAATAGGATATTTTATTCTATGAAAAAATGTATTTTTTTTTTTTTAAAAAATATTGAATTTAAATAGTAAAGTTTGAGAAATTCGGCTAAATAAATATCCTTCCTTCCCCCAATTTCAATTTCATTGTGATGTACGAATTTATTTGTATTTTATAGTATTTAATTACTATAAAATTATAAAAATTAAATATGAATATAATTATTTGAATTTTAAGTTCTTATAAGTATTTTTTTTTGTTTTATTTATGAATTGAGAAATAACTAATGCGTGCTATGTACAATATTTTAATTTATATATATATATATATTTTTTTTTGAGTTGGAAAAAAATTCATTTTTTATTTTTATAAAATATTTTATTATATATTATTTTAATATTAAATTTAAATCAAATTTTTCAAATCCCAAAAAAACACACATATTTGAAAAGTTACATATATTTTTTTTATTCAATTCAAAAAGAAAAATAAAGAAATCATATTAAATAGAATAATAAATAATTGAAAAAAGTGCTATTAAAAATATCATTCTCATGAAAAATTGTAAAATATACTGAGTGTAAATTAAAATTTAATTTTTTAAGAAAATAAATTTTTATAATAAGTCAAACTTGACCGTGGTTATAAATTAATTATTTTTCTTGATAGAACATACTTGAAGAAGATAAAGTATAAAAATTATTTTCTAAAGTGTAGTTACAATTGATCTTAATAATGACTTATTCATAATTATCTTTTCCGGAAGTTGTTGCACAATTAAATTTTTAATCTAATTAAATGTGTTATATATTTATTTAACATTCTTGTATATCCCAAGAGACGGGAATGAATTTACTTTCTTCTCCAACCGTCATCCCAGACTCATTAAAGCTAGTTTGGGTACTTTTCCTTATATTCATCATGCTTTCCGTTTAAGAAATTTGATGAATAACTTTAAAAAAAAAAAAAAAAAAAAAAAAAAAAAAACAACTAGGTAAATTCATTCTTCAATAGTTTTTATATTCAATATTTAGTTTTGCTAATATAATTTTTGTTTGCACTAGATCATTCGTAAATATCCACAATATAATAAGAAGGCATGGAAAAAAGTCTTTAAAAATGTTGTATATGCTCATACGAGGTTAGAGTATGAGCAAAATATTAAGAAAATAGTCGAGGCAATGTCAATTGCAAGAGAATTCATTGCTCAATAACAACCACAGTGTTGGACTAATTCTTTATTCCAAGGAAATCGTTGGGGTATAATTAACAACAATATCGTTGAATTTTAGAACAACTGGGTGAAGTCAAACGGCTCAATGCCTCTGGTTGGAATGGTTGTAATATCTGATCCTTAATCGAGTTGCCTCATTACATGTTTTGTTAATTAAATATCTTAAAGTTGTTATTGTCAATACGTCAACTTCAAACAACTGTAGATTTTTGAATTCATATATCAGTTTTATGAAAGTTATGTCATTGAATAGGTTTTTAAGTTACATTTCCAACGTCATAATTGTTGAGTCAATCCGAGTTCAAACGAAATAGTTAGAGCAAAAACAATATTCAAAGATTTGTTGTATATTCAAATATGTACGCCAATACGATTTTAACTTTGACTTTTAAATATAAAATTTCACTTTGCACTTATATTTAACCTTCATTTCATTCCCCAAACACTCCTAGGAAACCCTAGCATCACCCTTGCCCTCTTACTAGGAGATGATTTTGGCATAAGTTTTCATATTTTCTTCTTTTTTACTTTTGAAATTCGATTTTATAATATATGTGCATTATTTTGAGTTATTTTGTTTATTTAAACCATAGACTTAATGTTTTTAAAATAATATTTATATTCTTCGTGATTTTATCTTCATTTTGACATATTGTATGAGTTATTTGAAAGACAAATGAATTTTATATGATTTTATAAAATTATATACTCATTTATTTGACGAAAAATATTACAGAGGGCTGTAACTTTTGGATGCAATTATCACACTTTTGTTTCATGTGAAATTTAGATATTTGTGTTATCTTTAATTAAAAACTAATTTTGTTCCATTTGAGTATAAAATAAATTTTATATAAATTTTTTAAAATAAACACCATATTTCTTTGTTCATTTGAGTGTAAAATAAACTTTCAATAATTTTTACAATAAAACTGTTCTGTTTTCCGAAATTGAAAGGACCATTTGAGTTAAAATGATATTATGGATATAATTTAAATTAATAATTGAATTTTTGGTCTTTGAAATAAAATTTAGGAATGTTAGCCTTGATTTGATACTAGTTTTATAGTATTTGGGCTAACGGTGAATTTTTGATGAATTTTATAAGATCTGTGTGAAATTTGAGTAAGTTTGTTGATCGTATTTGGTGATTAAATGAAGTCCGATCAAATCAAGTCTCACGAGTCAGCGGTAATTGAGTTGGTTAGCTTCCTATAAGTAATGTAAATGGTTAAATTATGCATGCTTGAAATAAATTAACCATCTAACTATGTGTCGGAATTAAATAGAAGATTATAAAAAATCTCCGTATATGATATGTGGTGAACTTATTGTGATATGAGATTAAGAATTGATAGTTTGTGTATGTCGTGGATTTGACTAGACTTGATCATTGATTGATTAGTTGATTGGAAAAATCAATAAGCTCCATTTTATATATTGGATCTAAAATAGCACATAAAGATATCAACAAATTACTCTCTCCTCAATACTTGTCAAACTTCTCTTCCATTCTTAATACTATAGACCTCATTTGAGAATAATGATGTGTGGATTTCTAATTAAGCTTTTTAATCCGATACAACTCAGGGAGGAAAATATTAGCCGTTGAATATTTAGACTAAGAAATCATATTTGTAATCTCATGAAAAACTCCTAAAAACGGGAAAACATCTTCCACTTGGCTCCATTCAAATTCAATCGGCACATAACGAATCCAACATCAACATCAGCATATCTAGAAAACACATCTTTAAATTATAAAGTTGAAGCTAACATCATATAAGTTTCATTCCATCGTGTTGGACAATAAAAAAATAACTACTTCAGAGACAAAGAGAGTTGCTTTTTTATCTTGTTAAATTCAAGGAGACACGCTTCATAATTATACAAATACTTTATTCCATCCCAAATACAATCAACCACAAAACCAATCTCATTAAGACTATCTTGAACCAACAAATTCAGAATGTGCGCACAACAACGAACGTGGAATATCTTTCCCCCAATACTTAATTGTTTTGTCAACAACAAATCCTCTTTCAATCTCTTCACACACACACATCAATGTAAAAAACATTATCTACTGTGATATTGGATACTTTATTTTCAATTTTCCAATTAATGAAACATCTACTAAGTGTATCAACAATAATAACACCTATATGTGGGGGTGGAACATTATAAAAATTCAACACTCTCTTTTGTAATACCCAATTGTCATCTACAAAGTGTCCAGTTACCACTATATATTGAACCTTTTACTTCGATTTCCACAAATAAGTTGTAAGACTAATTCTTGTAACACCTTTTAACATTGATTTCAATTTTTTTTTTTTCAAATTCAAAAGTAGTAATGCAATCTTTCTTCAGAGTATGCCTACGAATCTTTTGATAAAATAGAGAAATAGATTTAAAAAAAAACTTATTGAAAACGGCATGCTCTATCATAAAAAAAATAAATATTCATGAGCAAAAATCATATGAGATGCAAGTTCTCGTTCCTTAGCATGATCGTACCGATAATTGACAATCGAAGTTATCGCTTCATAATGAGATTCAGTGGTGAAAGACAGAACCTGTTGTTCCGATGGTAAGGATGTTTGAATGCAACTCTCTAGATGACGCTTGTAAGTAGTTGTCGTTCCTCCCGAATTTCTTGAGAAAATCCATTTACAATGAGTGCATTGCACTTCTAGTGATCCATCGGGTTGACTTATTTCCTTCATATATTGCCACTGTTCGATTATCAAGTTTATGAAATATATATGCATATGAAAACATAGAAAGCCAAGAAAGTAGCTATAGGCGGTGAAAATAAATCATAGGTTCAACTATCTACTAAATGAAATCGATAAATCCAAAAATATAAAAATAAACTCAAACTTACCGGGTGGAGCTCGGACTAGGAGCGGCGCGGTGGCATGGTGGAAAAGGACAACAACGGCGGTCTATTATCGAAGGAAGAAATGGTATGAACGGGCGGTTGGTGGTGGTGTCATGTGGGAAAGATGTGTATAATTAGGGTTGTAGAAATTAGGTGGGAATGAGAATTAGGAATATATTAAATTATGAATTATAAATAATTAATAATTTGGTCTATTATTTTAGTTTTGATATTTATATATATATATGTTTGATATTTTATTTAAGAATTTAGGATTATTTTTTAATTGAAATTGAAATTTAAAATTATTATTAATTTTGATTTTTTTAGTATATATTTAATTTATATATAAATTCAAATTGAAAATTGGAATTATTTTATTATTTTATTTAAATTAATAATTTATTTATTTATTTATAATAAATATATTATTTATCGAACGTTTGCGAACAAAGCTCGGGATCGTTCGTTGACTAAACGAGCCTATTTATGTTGTTCGGCTCGGCTCGTTAACGTTCGCAAATAAGCTTTAACCGAGCCGAACAACATTCTCGTTAACGTTCGCAAATAAGCTTTAACCGAGCCGAATCGAGCCATGTTCACAAACAGCTCGTTCATTTAACAACTCTAATTATGTGGACATAAGAAGCTGTCGATCCTAGAATTTTCATAATATTTTCTAATATATGAATAAAAGTTGATTTTATATAAAGTAACATGTTACTTTATATAATTAAGTTGAGCCTAATAGAATTTTATAGGGTTTTTGTAAATTAGATTTACTAGGCAAATTTTATGAATTTTCTTTTTTTTTAAAAAAAAAAAAGAAAAAACAAAAAGATTTAGAAAATTATGTTGATCAAATATTTATGTTTTGAACATGACAGTTGAGAAGTTTGTAAG